GCCGCAACTTCAGAATTGGCATCATTTCGCCGCACTGCTGCCGCGTGTTCGGGAATTCGCGTCTTGAGAAGTCTGCCAGTTTTTCGGACATAGTTGCTTTGCCCACAACTGCACCAGATCCTGTAGACGAGGCCGAACTTCTCGCCGGAGGTGACAATCGGGTGAGCCGAGAATTACTTGAGTCATGGTTCACAGATCCCATTCAATCAACAAGTGCAACGATTTGCCCAATCCATATTCGGTCCTGAAACTCAGTTCGCCCAAAGCAAGTCGCCATTTGGGGAATGGACAGGCCACCACGTCATCCTACGCCTGACGTAGCGAATTAGCACTCACACCAAATAGTTATCGATCTTTTGCATGCGTTTAAAGTTTAACTGCATGCATACGGCAAAACCCCTGTGCACACACTACCCGTATCTGCTTCTGCGCTGTGATTAAGTCTCTGATGATGAATCCGCGACAGATATCGAAACGTCAGGCAAATAAAAGTATTGTCCCAGCGGTCGAGTCTTCTTTTCAATTACTTCCTGGGACTGGCATGTTCGCTTGTATTGGCAATCCGAAACTAATTCACGCGCAAGTCACTGTGCCTGTACCATCCTGCTGTGGAACACACACTAGACCTCATCTCAACCGACGGTCGAACTGTCAGTGTGTGTACATGGTCCTTAAAACGGCATGCATTGTTGCGTCTGACCTTAGCAAGCATTAAGCACGTTTGGCACACATAATATAAAGGTCTCGTGCCACCTTAACCACTGAGCCTGATCTGCGGTCATTTTAACTTAGATTTGACACCGATGCTAAATAGCAGAAAAAAACGAGTGCTGCCGCTTCTGCACGTCTTTCGCCTTCATTTATCTGTCCACAAGGAAATGTAAAGTCGCATCTCCAAAGTCAACAGCACTCCGCCTGGAAATGCTGTGGTCTTATCTTCAGCCACCTTCTCCTGATAAAATTCCTGTTCTTAGCGGACGTATAGACGGTACACGAAGGCCAAGCAGGAAAAAACTGATGATTTTCACCTTAGTTTTGCTACAGTGAATGTCATAGCTGCGGAGGCAGAAAAGAGTCCCAGGCACTCAGGTGCTAATTACCTGTGTGCGTCTTATGGAAGCACGTTTGACTGCGATGGAGCAATCACACCATTAGGAGGGAAAGCGGCTGCCTGCGAAATCCAATGTCCTACGACAACATCTTCATGTTTACCCGCACACGAAACGGAAACATGTGTTACAGTTCCACAATGTCCACCGCGTAACTCACAGCAGGCGCAGTGATATGGTAGACTTTCGCTGCACCTTCCGCACTTTCTCTTCCCTCGCCCACCTCTATCTGGTGTCAAGGTAAAGTCAAGAACATGGGAGGCGGGGTCGGGTGCAGGCGGCTGGCGCGACGTAAGCCTTC